TCACTTTATTCCATCACACACACTGCTCCTGCTGCAGTTCATCTAATGACATGTACATTTTGCTGTTGTCACCAGGAGGGAGTTTTTTTTTCTGTCATAGTTCAGACTGATGTACCTGTGTGTGGCCCTGAACAGCAGTCTGTGCTGCACACACTAACTCACAGGCAAGAAGAGAGTACAACCACCATGGAGGGGCTCAGGCTGGTTGATTTAAAGGCATTATTTAAAACAAAAAAAAAACAAAAAAAAAACAACAACAACCCATGACCTTGTATGCCTTAAATTGTTAGTTTTGGGGAGGTAATTTGTATATTTGTGCTATAATAGTTAATATTACAAAAGTGTTGTTTTACAACCAAATACACTAATTACACAGGACAATGAAATAAGTTTAATTTAGCATTACATCTAAAAGGATACTGATTATTTAAAAATAGCTAAAAATAAAATTTATTTAAATTATTTAAATATTAAAAGAATACCAAATAGTCTGACAAAATTCAACACAGTAATAGATGCATGATATAGCAAATGATAATCCTAAAAATAACTCAATAACATTAGCCAAATAGATTTTGAAAATAGTAAAAAAATATATACCAAGCCAATTGCACTATATAGCAAGATTAGCCAAAATACGCTCATAATAATTCATAAAATTACCCTGGATTAATTAACATAGTTTAAAACCCCTTCAAATATATTATTAAGGAGGGAAACAATCAATTTCCTAAACCACCAATTTCTTCACAATGCGAATAATTAAATCATCATTAATTAACTTCTAAAGCCTCTGTTGATCGGGCTGATGTCGTTTTATGTCTACTCTGCTTAAGTTCTTCTTTGCATCAGCGCATAAACAACTATATTTGTTTGTTGATTTTTATTTTTGCAGCATCTTTTTGCTGATCACATTGCCGACTGAGTTCCCCCCAGAAATCAGGCACCTGTCATTTCTCGGCGTCCTTCCAACCCGCTGACCCCTGACATCACCCGCAGGTCTTCAGATAGGAGCTGGTTAATGGACACATGCGTCTCCCAGAGAAGACAGAGAGAGATTTTAATCTCCATAAGAGACTGGCGTCCTTCAGCTCATCTGATCCTCCTTCACGAATCACTCTGTGCCATCAAAGCAAAGAAGGTACAATTCAGTTAAAACTACCAGGGAGACAATCAGGTCGTCTGTTTAAGTGTTGCTGTCAGAGAAAAGAAAGGCTTTAATTCAATAAGGACCGAGACAGAAATTCCTTTTTCTGATGTCCAACACAGATTGGGCATCACCATTGATTCACTCTGACATTTTTTCTTACCTTTAAACCAGCTCTTTAATCCTGTTTAAATTGTGTTTTAGAAAGTTTCCACAAAGCCCAACATTTTAAATAGTAAACCGCCAATATGAAACAATCCATATCCTAGTTTAAAATTATGAATAATACTTATATAATCAAATAGTGAAAATAGGTAGAAAATTAGCCTTTATTAACACAGAAATTGGTAAAAGCTACTGTATGAATAAACAAGTGAAATTTTAGTCAATTTCTATGTCAGCCAAAATGAAGCTAATCATTAGCTTTCTCAAGAGCAACCTACTCTTTTTTAAAACTTCATTTACATAATTTCATATACATTTACATTATTTTATATAATTTCATCTATGGCATTAGTTTTTTTATCAGAGCTCTCTCTTATATTGTATTTCTTACTCTGAAGTATTTGCTGACTATTTACTGAATTACTGCAAGATACAAGAGACACAAAATGAAGTTGAGCTCCATTCTCTTGTCTTGATGGTTTTCACATCCCTCTGTCCCCCTGGTGGCTCTGCTCCCCTACTCTGACCCTTAAAATGTCTCCATTGACTTTTCCCTCTGCAGTTATGTTTAGTGATGAGGAACCATGACATTTACATCGCCAGCTCTGCAGAGTGAGCTTCTGCACTCACAGAGACTGGAGTTTATAAACAGGTCACAGGATCAGAGGACTGTCTGTTGACTGGACTCACTTTCTACACACTTCTGTTTTGTCCTTCACGTGTCCCCTTGATTTTTATTTTCTATCTTTTTGCCTTAGACCAGTACTCAATTCTCAAATAGTGGGGCGAGCCCCCTTTGGGGGTCGGGGTGAGGTGCCAGGGCAGTGAGGGGCTTCCAATGGAATGTGGCCAGCTGGACATAAGTGTACCACTGCTGTAATGCTTAAATGATAACAAGCCTCCAGCCACTAGGTGGCAGCAACTCATACAGTGGTTTGTACAGATAAAAATTTACATGTTATCAGGTTCTTATAATATTTAAATTCGAAGGAGTGTCGGTCAGGTGTGGGAGGGGGGCGTGAAAACATTTCTGTCCCCAAGGGGGAGCTTGACAGAACATAATTGAGAACCACTGCCTTAGACGCACGCCCCTGTTCCTACGTCTCCTAACAGTGGAACCTCCATTCCTTCCCCTCACCCTCTCTCTCTCTCTCTACCCAACACCCACTTTTTCTACTCTCTGTTCATCTCCACACCAAGTTACTAGAACCAGGGTTAGAACCCTGATCAGAAACTCCTGGGTGTCCACTCATCACTCTGCTGTTTGTGCCGTTTGAAGATTACTCCGCTCACATCCTCGCTGGGCATCCACGCAGCTTAGAGGCCAAAAATCCATAATCCCTCAGCCTTCATGGGAATTCTCCATGCACGTCAGCGCGCTGAAATACAACAGCAGCAGGAGCAGGAGCAGCAGCAGCAGCAGCAGCAGACACTCATGGCCCAGGAGCTGCTGCCGCCGCAGGCCCTTAGATATGAACGACATGTCTGTACAGACGTGGAAGAAAGTGCAGAGGAACTACATTTTAAAACTAAGTTACAGAGTCAGGGAGTGTTTCTGTTCGGCTTATCTGAAGTGAAGACGTGTTTCACTATCCGTGAGTTGTGCCAATTATACCAGTGAAAAAATTAAAATATGCTTGTAGGTTTATAAAATATTTCATAATTTCCTATGAAGAGATGTAGTAAGTATGGATGTAAATTCTGATGAAACTTAAAACTAGTTTATTCTTTGTCTGCTGCATTATCCACGTAAGGCAATCTACAATAAATGTTTTTCTGCAATATTTTCTTTTATTGTTATTTTGTTATTTCTTAGCTTGCCTTTGTTACGACCTCTGTCATAACTTGGCTAATTATTAAATATGTTTTAATAATCCACAACCAACCCTCGAGTTCCCTTTTTAGTAAAATAGTACAGCTAAAGTAAAGTTAAGCTAACTGAATACATTCCGACACAAAAAAGAGCAAACCCAGAATTCGAAAAGTTTTTTTGTCTAAATTAGTATTCCATTTCTGCCTGAAATGATTTAATTTGTAACCCTAAATCAATTTTGAGGAAAATAACATGTTTTACATGGCCGAATAATGGTGTTTGCATATTCTTAAAATGTCAAAAAAAAAAAACAAAAAAACATTTTCTATCTTTGCAGCTCTTCTGCAAGTGAATTATTAGATATAATATTTGTAGAAATATTAGCAATCCCTGTCACGAAATTAGATCATCACTAACCCAACAACCTGCTAATTTCTGACTCTGGTTTTACTTCAAGTCAGCCAGAGTGTAGATGTTTCTGTTTGCTGGTAGTGTCCTTTTTTTTTTTTTTTTCAATTTTACCCTCTCATTTTAATACAGAAAGAACGGCAGACACACATTTCTTTCAAATATGGTATTTCTCCAGCCATGATGTCCTTTCCTTTCACTCTTCCTCAGTCATTACACGCGCGCACACACACACACACACACACACAGCTTGTTTTATGGAGTCTCTAACAGCCCAGAAGACATTATTTACAAAAAATATGGGACTCAGCAGCTGCACTGCCTTTTTCCACTACAGTCATCTTAATAAAGGATTTCCTCCGAGGCTTTAATGCCTTATTAAAAAGCATAAATAAGTGCAGTTCCTTGATTTAGTAATCTAAGTGAACAAGTATAATGTGTAAAGTTCTGCCGTTGTAGGTGAAGGAGCTGCGGGACTTTCTATTCTTTTCCTCTGGGCTAAACCCTAATGCCTTGTTTAAACCCATGTAATAAAGAGGTGGAGAGGTGGGGGTTCACACCAAACAGGAACAATCAAAGTCACTTTATATTCTTTCTTTGGTATATTCTCACCATGAGAGCATTTCTTCACCTCTAATCTTTTGTATGTTTTATCTGATTAACCCTCGCTTTAAATTTTTGTTAAATTAGGTGGTGAACGAAGAGAAAAGGTCAAGGCTGGTTTTAGTCAAACAGTGAGCAGCATCGAATTTGCTGAGCCCCTGTTGGTTTTTGAATTCATATTTCTGCCGCATTTTTTTAGGACAGTTTTAACAAGAAAATAATTTTCTTAAAGAGAAAAAAAGAGAAAAAATTATTAGCATACCGTTTTAAAACAAAAAAGTGTTGCCTTTTCAAAATTTTAATATGGGCAAAAATTGTATTTAAGAATTTAGCCATCTCCAAGGTAGCTTTTAGCATTTCTTGGCTAACCATTCTCTTTTAATGAACTTTAGGACAAGTAGTGTTATATTTTGACTTAGTCAAGTATCATAAGCTAAAGTCTTAAAAGTCTTTTTTTTAATTCTGTTTCTTCCCGCAGTCTAAAAACAGAGGTTTAGGATGACTGGACACTCTAAATAAACCATGGTATGCTGTCGTACAGACATACCGTTACCCTGGAGCATGAGGCAGGAGTCTGGATTCAGTAAAATTGGTGTGTTAGCTGGTAGCGATGTGACGCTAACTCACAGCCTGAGTCACAAGCAGAGTCACACTGGTCCAAACATTAGTCCATCACAGCATATCCAGTCAGAAGATTCAAAAACAACCTTTGTGATTCAATGACATTTGGTGTCAACTAAATTTCTGGAATACAGTAGGTGACTAAAAATGTTGTTTACAAATTTTCTGATGCTAACAATGACTGCAGAACGTGAAAAATTTAACTGGGAGTGGATCAAGGCAAAGACCAAGGTGTGTTTGTGGTGATGCCAGAAGAGCTAGGGTAAAATACATTTTACAGTTTGCCTTTTTTATCCAAAATACTATAACGCCTGTATCTTAAGTGAGCTGTGTTGTCCGTGGGATGTTAGTTATTAGATTTGACATGCGTTTGCTTTGTTTTCTTACTAAGTGATATCTGTTTTATAGCCTTTGTCTCTTTGGGGAATATTTTTTCCAAACAAAAACTAAAAATTTCTTTAAAAAAATCATTTGATCATTGTGAAGAGAGCTCAATGTTAGTTGATCATGTATATAAATGTATTCCAGAACAGTCCTCGTTAAAGTCAAATAAAAGTAGCATTTGTTAAAATTCACCTGAAACTGATGTCAACGGCCTTAACATTTTACCGTGTTCAGAACAAGGCCGTGTTTAGTCACCTTTCTACCTGAGAAATATTTACTTTGTTACATTTTAAGCTATAACTTAAACAAAATGTAAGACAGAAACGTCCTTGGTCAATGAAGAACCGAACGGTCGCTCCCATGATGCACTGCTAACCTCACCTGTACTCAGACCTCCTCAGTTGGCCCCTCCCCCACTGCTCTGCGTAAACTGTGGCACCGAGGCCACAGCATGTCACCATCACTGGCTTCTGCCTGAATCTCTTCAAGGTTACTCTTTGATTTAACAGTGATGCATTTTTTAAAAGCGTATCATTCCTCTCTGTGACGACGCCGTGCCTCGTCCATCTCTGTCAGCAATGCTGTGTGCGGCGTCTCACCTTTAGCGGTGGAAACAACAGCAGAGGTTGTTTCAGATATAAATCAATGGCAAATGAAGTGACCTGCTGCCGCGCAGGGCCGATCCTGATTGTTCTACCTGCTGACTTACCTTTAAAGGGAGGGCAGTGAAGTAACGCTGGGATTTATGTTTGTCTATGACATGTCCTAAAAACCCTGGAAAAGTTACTATTGTCACAAAACATTTTAAAATAATCGGTTATCTTCTTAGTACAGTAGTACACTTGATTTTTGGTCAATTTCAGTCAAATATTTTCTGCCAATATATCTGTAACAAAATCATTATTATTGTGACAAAATTGTTAAACTACAAAATACTACAAA